TGCTGTGTGTTCAAGAGCAATGAGCTGGTGAAAGCCTTGTTGGCACCACCAGCTTGGTGTGTTAGGCCCTCACACTCAACACCACTATCACAGGGTCTGAACTGTGTAGACCAGCGGTTCCCATCCCTGGTCCAGAAGGCCTCGCCTGATCCAACAAATCAGCTCATTAACAACCTCTTACTGAGTTGAAGTGGATGATCTATTGCCATGGTAACATACCTGCTGTAACAGTTTGTACCTGGTTAATGGCTACATATTCTGTACATTTCAGTTTTTCAAAAGTGTTACCTGGTTTTAATGTTCTGCCCTCTTTTCTGCACGTTGTACCTAGGAAGGACGCACGCAAGGACACATATAGAGTAGTAAACCACACACACACAGTTACTTCATGTGGCAGGACACCTTAAAAAAGCACTTTAAAATAAACAAATAGCATTTGCATCAACTAAAAATATACTCAGTGCTTATTTATTTAAAGTAAATATATTACTAACAAGCTATTTAATAGAGTAAACTAGCACCACTAAGGGGCAGTAAAACTCCTTGCAAAAGTTTTCTTATCCATTTTCTCCTTCACGCCCAAGGCCAACCACCACAAAAGGAGTTCCACACATTTTACAAAATTACTGCGTACTTCAGTTGTTAAGACTTAAAGTCATTCAGAGTGAATTGATGTGATGGTGCACTGTAAAGAAACTTACATACTTAGATCTGGTGATAGACCCAGGGGTTCCTTGTCTACAATGTCTACAATGCAAATATAGCCATTTTGTTTACTATCCAGAACATACATGTGTCTTCTGAGTTTGTATGGGTAATGTTGATAATGGTAAAGCAGTGTTAAATCTGAAAGTGAGAAAGCACCATATGTTGTTAAACAGGATGTAATGCAGGCAACTAAAGAGTTTGGTAAAACTTTACTTGAATTCTACTGTACATTTACTTGCACTTAGCAATCCGATAACAACAGAAAATCAGGTTTTGTCAGAAATCAATGCGTTTACATGCTTTTGAGTAGTCATACGATTGGAAAATTCCGGGTTCACGTGATGATAAATATTTAAATCCTTCATTTCGAGCATGTAGTTGGTTTCAGTGTCGCTCCAGAAGTGTTTTTGCTGCCGTCTCGCAGCAACGCTACTTGGTTATTTCCTGTCTGTTATGCGCAGACTGAGAAATCCGAAAGAAATCTGAGTAAGAATTTACATGCGCTGAGAAATCAGAGAGCTAAAATTAAGCTCTCTTTATCGGATTCCTTAATTGGATTTTTAGACCTTGCTCCAATCTAAGAAATCTGAGTATGCTGTTTACATGACCACTTGAATAATCAGATAACTACAGAAAGTGCATGTAAACACACTCATTCACATAACCAAGCAATAAACATGTCATATGCTGTCATGAGATGTCATGACAGATTTTTATTTAATAATAAAATAAAACAGTCATGTTACCACTGCAGGTGTTTGTCATGACAGATATCATAATGTTTGATATCATGATGGCTGAGTACAGTACGCAGCAAATATAAGCTTGTGACATAAGCTTTAAACGAACATTATGGCATCTGTTGTGACAATTACTGGTGATGGTAAACAGTGTGGAACATCACTAAGCTAAATTTGTCAGAACAGTTCAGGACAGCTTGTGACATCTGCCATCAAATGTTTGTGGCATGTTTTTGTCAATGTTATGTCGGAGGGTACAAGTACAGGGGTACCAAAAGTCAGTCTTTCTCTCTCTCTCTCTCTCTCTCTCTCTCTCTCTCTTTCTCTCTCTTTTCCATATAGTACAATCAGAATTTTTATGTAACTCTCTTTAAGCCCATTCTTGTCAGGTAGAGAATAAAAAAATGCCTATGTTGTTTTTTCTCTTCTTTTTCTGTAGTTGTGATTTAGTATCTTGAAATAATTATCTATTTGCCCAATAATATATCTAATAATAATTACCTATATTACCAAATAATTGACTATTTTTTTCAAAATATTGTTTGAGCCAAGCCTGATAAAAAGTGACCCAGACAGAACAGGCCATTTCAAGAAGTGCTCTGTCATAATCCGTCATACAGTTCTGGAGCCCGAAGCCTTCTCGGGTCATACACAGTTGCTGTGACCAAATAGATCCCTGCTCTTATATTAGAGTTGTGCTATATGGGAGAACCATTTAGTTCACTAAACAGCAGAGAAACACATGGATCAATAAGCAAATAATCATCAACTTGTCTCAATATTCACCAGGTAGTCTAGAAAATTTGGAGTCGATTCGGATTCCAATTCCAAGTCTGGCAAAAATAACGAGTATAACATTAATTATCTTTGACCTTACACTCTAAGAAAAAAAGGTAGTGAATTGTCACTGGGGCAGTACCCCTCTTGTCACTGGGGTGGTACCCTCAAGAGCACATCTCGGTACCTTTAGTCAGGGAACACAATCCATTATGTACCATAATTCATTGAAATTTTATTTTGTAAGTTGTACCGACTCCACACACCCCGTCTCGTCTCCAGGCTTTTTATTTTCTTGTTCTGTTTTAAAACATTGGGTTATAAAAAAGGAACAAATATGTACTTTTCACCTGGAAAAACATATTTAAGATACACCATTGGATCTTACAACCACCTTTAAGGGCACATCTACATTGTTTGTACCTTGATTAATGAAAAATGTACCTGCACAGAACCTTTATTTCTATCAGTGTAGCAAGGAAATTTGAATTGCTAACATTAGCTAAGCCTCATCTTATCTTCACATTTATTAAAATCTTTTATCCTTTTTATCCAATTTAAACCTTAGGCAAATATCAAAGTTCTGGGGGCAATTATGTTTTTCCCTCCCCGATGTGGTGAGAACTATCAGTGGTTCTTCACTGCAGGCGTGGCTGTTTTAGGGACCCCAAAGCACACACACACTGCTTAGTAACAAGAGATTTCCAGTGCAGTTTGATACACATTTAACTCATCTACCATGTTCACTAGAAATGCCAATGAAATTGTAGTTCCCTCAAAATCCCTCTAGAGTTCCATTTTACAATTCTGACACTAGAAAAATGTCTGACATATAGCTTAAAACATGGTGAAGATCCATTTTGTTCTTAGCCAGTCAGGTACCTAAGAACATTTTATGTGCTGGTAAATCTATTAGGGAAATCTATTCTTGACCTTTAACTCATTAGCTTTACATATCGCTGTTACCAGAACAAAACCTTGTATCTCCAAAAAGGCAATTTTACAGGACGAGGAAAAAAATCGTGGCTTTTAACGGATGTAAATGGACAGATTTTGGAGCATTTCTGTTGGTCCATTCATAGTAAAAATTGGACACAACATAAAGGGCAAGTGCCATTTTCAAATTATGTCAAAAAATGAAAAACAACAAAAACTGAGATATAAGATTTTGTCCCGACAACAACAATAAATTCACCTAATCAGTCTACAGCAGTTTAGCCCCACCCCATTCACACTGAAGTTATATAGAGTGTTTCATCCTGGGCTGCCTTTTGAATGCGGTGAATCAGAACACAGGTAATTTACATATCGCTGTCATCGGAAGAAAACCTTGTATCTCCACTTTTGACATTTTTTCAGTTTTTGACATTTTAAAAATACATGTTGCTCTTTACAATGTATGAAAATTTCATGATGAATCGATTAAAAGAAATGACCCAAAATGACTTGGAAAAAATTCTAGTTCCATTGACTTTAAAAGTAAAGTAGGTTTTTCCTTCTCCTGTAAAGTTACCATTTTGGAGATACGAGGTTTTCTTCCAGCAACAGCAATATATTTATTTATTACTTTATATCTTAAATTAATAGGGAGACATATAAGCATATAGCATGAGCATTGCAAAGAACTGTGTGTTGTCAGACATCATAATATTTATAGTTATGTGCTAATTTGCAATGTTTGTCCCTAAATAGGCCTTTAGTAACGTTAAGGAAAATGTAGAAATTGTGGAAATAAAAAAGGAAATATTTACACATTTTAAGGCTGGAATAAGTCTTACAAATATTAATTTGTAAATATTTGCCTATACAAATATAGATATTTGTTATATGTTAACACACAGATCAACTATAACATTAAGTACACCTCCTTGTTTCTACACTCACTGTCTGTTTTATCAGCTCAACTTACCATATAGGTGCACGTAGTAGTTCTACAATTACAGACTGTAGTCCATCTGTTTCCCCGCAAACCTTGCGAGACACCTTTTACCCTGTTCTTCAGTGGTCACAGGACCACCACAGGACCACCACAGAGCAGGTATTATTTGGGTGGTGCATCATTCTCTGCACTGCAGTGACACTGACATGGTGGTGGTGGTGTATTAGTGCATGTTGCGCTGGTATGAGTGGATCAGACACAGCAGTGCTGCTAGAGTTTTTAAACACTGTGTCCACTCACTGTCCACTCTATTAGACCCTCTTACCTTGTTGGTCCACCTTGTAGATGTTAAGTCAGAGACAGTAGCTCATCTGTCGCTGCAGTTTGTGTTGGTCGTCTTCTAGTCCTTCATCAGTGGTCACAGGACGCTGTTGGCTGGACGTTTTTGGTTGGTGGACGATTCTCAGTCCATTAGTGACACTGAGGTGTTGAAAAACTCCAGCAACACTGCTGTGTCTGATCCACTCATACCAGTGCAACACACCACCACCACCACGTCAGCGTAACTGCAGTGCTGAGAATGATTCACCACCCAAGTAATACTTGCTCTTTGGTGGTCCTGTGGGGGTCCTGACATATATATATATATATATATATATATATATATATATACAAATTTCGTTTTGCCCGTGTAAAAAGCCCGTATTTGGGTGTATTTGCCCTTCCCTGCTTGTAGAATGCCCTGCCCGCCTCTGAATGGGGGTGGGACGCTGGGGTAGGTGGGGTAATGATGGGGTAGGTGGGGTAATGAGGGGGCTGGGAGGGGGGCGTTGGATGTTGCACATCGCGCTCCGCACATGGTCCCTTTAACCGGGCCGTGCTGTGTCTGCCGCGCGATGGCCGCTCGCGCGCTGCTGGCGCTGCTGCTGCTGCTGCTGACCGTGTCGTGGTGCGCGCGCGCCTCCTCGAGCTGCCAGCTCGCGCACGACTGGCGGCCGCAGAGCGAGGCGTGCCGCGCGGAGCTGGCCGAGATCATCGTGTTCGCGCGCGTGCTCGCCGTGCACAAGGAGCAGCCGTACAGCGTCTACAACTACCTGCCCTGGCAGGACGACGCGGGGGGGCTTTTCTTCTCGGCCGAGATCGAGCTGCTGTGCGACCAGGCGTGGGGCAGCATGCTGGAGGTTCCCGCGGGCTCGCGCTTCAACGTCACCGGCTTGGGCTACTTCCCCTGCTACTCGTACAGCGTGGTGGAGAACAACAACTACTACTTCTTCCTGAGGTGAGTCTCGGTCTGGTGATGCTGCTGTGCACGAATGGAGCCTTGTGATACCAGTGCAAGGGGAAAGGGAAAGTCCTCGTGCTCTGAGATTATATGCTCTTGTCCAGCTTGCAGAGAATTAAACGCATGATCCTCTATGCTCATGATAAACCATATTCATAAACCATATTCATGTGTACAGTGCGCAGAACTGCTTGTAATGAAGTCTTGGCATACTGTAAAGCATGAGCTTCTACACCATATAGCACCAGCAAAGGGGTTTTGTTACTTGTAACAATAGCAAAACCCTTTTTGGTGCTATGTAGAACTTATTTTAAAAGGTTCTTTAAGTTATCAGTGTTCTATACAGTTCTATACCAAATTGCATGTCTTGTGAAACTAAATGAACACATCCTCTACAGGCAACAGACTTCAGTGTGGCATTTTTCTCCATTATAGTGCACACTTTCTATTCTTTGCTGACTTTCGGAGTATAATATATTGTAAAAAAAATAGTAAAACATACAGATTTAAGGGTGCCATTACTTTTTCACAGGCCACATTTTAAGGCTTTTTTTTTTTCCTAAATGTTAAATTCAGCAAATAGACAGCAAGCATGCATTAAAATGTGCTTTCTGTGTACTACAAAACATGTCATTTGACCAGGGACACCCAAACATTTGCATGCATACTAAAAAACCCCTGAAGAGCCACTTTTTAAGGGTATGTATGAGGGTGACACTTACAGCCCACATGCCACATGTATGAAACAGGTTCTATATAGCTTATTAAGTTCTATAAAAGCTTGAAATCATTTTGGTCACCATATGGAACTCTGTATCCAGTTTGCAGTTTTGTCTCTAATGAAACTGATACTGCTTCTTCCTGAGGTGAGGCTCAGTCTAGTGATGTTGTTAGGCACGAATGGAGGCTTGTGATACCAATGCTAGAGGAAATCCTCATGTTCTTAAACTATATGCACATACTCCAGCTTGCAGAGTTAGTCGAGAGAGCGAGCAGTTTAGAGCATATTAAGTTACAGGGTACTAAACAAAAGCATGTTCCTTTATGATGGTAACCTAAACAGGCTGCAGCATATCAACCATAATCCTAAAGCACATTCATCTGTCTGGTGTGCAGGGTTACCTGTAAGTTATAGCTTATTAAAAAGCATAAACAACTACACTCCAAAATGGAATCTAAATAGTACAAAAACAATCTATGACTCCCTTTGTGGTGCTATACAAAACCATTTTTAAAGGTTCTCTAAAGAACCATACACAACAGGTTTTCCATCAGAGAGAAGAACCATTTGACCATGCAAAGAACCATTTATGCATTCAAATTGTTCTTTGATCTGTCCTACACATAATGTATGGTTTTATATATGTCCGCACTCTTAAAAAAGATGGTTCTTCAAGGGTTCTTTAGTAAAGAAAATGGTTCTATATAGAATCATGAACACTTAAAGAACACTTTGCATAATTAAAGGGTTCTTTGAATCATGAAAGGTTGTTCAGATTAATGGAGAATGTGCTTTAGATGGGTTTATATAGAGCCTTTTTGAAAAGGTTTGTTTGTTTACTAAAGAACCCTTGTTTACTAAAGAACCCTTGAAGAACCACTTTTTTAAGGGCACTCTTAAAACAAAATGCCACAAATGGTTCTTTGAGTAATACCATAGAAGAACAACTTCTGGTTCCCTAAAGAACCATGACTGAAAGACAGATGAAGCAGAAAAACCTTTTAAAGGTTTAATGAACGTTTACATAATGAAGGTTCCTTACCAAGTTCAGGGTTCTTCCAAGAATCTTTACATTATGTGGAGGTTCTTGAAACGTCTTCTATACTCCAAAAAGGTTCTATGACTTCTAACAATAGCAGCCCTTTTTGGTGCTATACAAACCATTTGTCAAGAACCATATCCACAGGTTGTTCATCATAGAGAAGAAACATTAAACCATACAAAGAACCACTGATGCATTCCAAAGGTTCTTTATGTTGTCACAGTTCTATACCTATCCACTGCCTTTACTAAAGAACTCTTAAAGAACCACTTTTTTAAAAGAGAAGTCTAAAAAAAGGTGCCCAACTGGTTCTTTAACTTCCCTAAAGAAACATATTCGAAATAGAAATTTGTATGTTTGACAGTTTAAAGAATCTTTATTTAATGTAAAGGTTCCTTATCTTTAGGGTTCTTCCTAGAACATCTACACTATGTAGAGATTCTTTAAACTTAAAAGGTTCTGCACACGTATGCCTCTCATTTACACAAATGGTTCTTTAAAGAATAATCCACTGAAATGTTCTTTAAGGAACCGAATGTGGTTTTTCTATTGAAAATGTTTATGTATAATGTAAGGGTGGGTATATGATTGTGTCACATGTTGTCTCTGTCTGTATATCATATGCATGTATGAAACAGGTTCTACATAGCTTATTAGGTTTTACCAGTCATTTTGGTCACCATATGGAATTCAGTATGTTTCTTGTTGAGGTGAGTCTGAGTCTAATTCTGTGGTTGTATAATCGAACAGTAATTTAATATGAGACGTCTAATTATATAATAATGTAAAGAAGATGTATAATATCAGTGCGAGGAACTAATGCTGCTGCTGCTGCTGTTCGGCATGAATGAAGACTGATGGTATCAGTGCAAGCCAAATCGTCATGCTCCTAAACCATATTCACATGTGCAGCTTGCAGAGTTGCTTGTATTGAAATGGTAGCATAAGTGTTGCATATCAAACAAAGGTAAGATCTTCTGTGATATACCAGCATATCATTGCTGTTCAAAGAAAAACATCTCATTTCTATGGTTTAAAAACAGTAGTTGTCCCCCTACATTGTATGAAAATTTCATGATGAATGAACCAATAGAAATGCTCCAAAACTGCTTGGAATAAAACCCCTTTACTTTGACTTACGTTGAAAGTTAAGAATGTTTTCGACTCTCCTGTAAAGTTACTGTTCTGGAGATACTTGTTTTTTCTTTTTTCAGGTAAATGCTTGTTAAAACGCTGTGATCATAACACTTTTTGGGGTGAAATGACATCAAAATTGACCTAATCAGCCTTTATAACAGATGCTTGTTGGAATAAGCTTTACAAATGCTAATGTAGGTTTATGCCAGTTGTCATTAATGGATTTTGTGTTATGTAGCATGTAGCCTAACAAACGCTGCCTTACAGTAAAGTGTACGTATATTAAATAAGCACATGCATGACTTTCTATGGTGGTAACATACAGGTTCTATACAGATAAAAGCTTATGTAATTTTCACAGTTAGTTGTTGTATGTCTACCTACTAGGTTTGGCCGATTAATCGAATTTTATTTTTAATCACGATTTTGGCTTCCAGCGATTATGAAAGCAAGATAATCGAGATAAAACGATGATTGTGCCAAATTCTGTTTTGCAGTGATGCTCTCGTTTTGTCTTGTGTTATAAATCCAGCACACCCCTTCACTATACAGTGGTAATCATGTAATTTATTGTGGTCTAATTTATTTTTACTTATGATATTTATATATGTTTAGTAGTTTTCAGTAGGCTGTGGAAGTGCACTAATATTATTTACATGTATATATATACATATACATATATATACTTTTTTTTCTACTGTGCTCTGTGTTGGTTGTCTGCACTGTATTGTGCCTCATTCAAACAATACTCACAGCTTAAACATACCTTACAATTTAATATGAATGGGCGGGGCTAAACTGCTGTAGGCTGACATATATTTAAATGAACAATGAATACAAAATAGGCTGTTTTTGCAGCTTAGTATCCAGATACGGACTGGAGTGTGAAACTTTATATAGCTTCACATAATGTTTACATATTAATTCATACTCATTTAGTTCCTTTATTTATAAATGTTTATTTTCACAAAGATAAAAGTTCATTCAACCATGATGTACAATACTCTGTAATGGACCCCTAAATAGGTTCTATGCAGATGAAAGCATAGTAAATCCTTTTTTGGTCGCTAAGTATCTCACATCCAGCTTACAATACTGCCTGGAATTCAGAGCTGTAATATGTTAAAGAGAAGCATAATCATCTGTGATGGTGACCTGAACTGAATGGCTTATTAAATCTTTTCAGTCTGCCGCTGTACCATATCCACTCACTTAAAGTTTTGCTTGAGTGCAGTTCAAAATTGCATATTTTGGATATGATATATGTAAATGTAGGGTGTCAGTGCTCTGTTTTTTGGACACAAAGCGTCTGAGACCTTATTATGCCCCATAATGACGCTACACTGAGTGAAAATAGTGTAATAGTTATTAATGTTGGAGAACAGTAAGGTCAGACTTCATTAGCTGTATCTGGCCAGTGGTTGCCTTTGTTTCTATGTTTGGAGGGAGACTATGATCCAGCTGCCAGGAGAACCTTCAGCACATCACACTGCTAACCTGAACCAGCTGTGTGAGAGTATGACCATTCACCCTGATTCTGGAGGGGATGGGGGGGACGTGCGTGTGTGTTCTGCTCCTTGTGTGTCTCTGCATGGGAAGCATAAGAATAAGTGCAGTACTTGCAGTGATTACCAGGAGACAGAGAGAGGGAGGGGAGAGAGAGAGAGAGCAACAGAGAGAGGGAAGGAGAGAGATATTAATATAGAGAGGAAACTAGTGAAAAAGAGGGGGGGGGCAGAGGAAGAGAAGAGGAAAGAGGGTGGGAATTAGAAAGAATAGAGGGGAAAGAGCAAAGGAAAGAGAAAGGGAAAGAGAGAGAAAGGAAAGAGGAATTCAGAGACAGAGAAAAGAGGAAAAAGAGATAAAAGAAAGAGGGAGAGAAAGGGAAAAGAAAGAAAAAGAGAAGGGGAATGACTGAGGGAAAGAGGGAGAGAAAGGGAAAAGAGAGAAAGAGAAGGGGAAAGACTGAGGGAAAGAGGGAGAGAAAGGGAAAAGAGAGAGAAAGAGAAGGGGAAAGACTGAGGGAAAGAGGGAGAGAAAGGGAACAGAAAGAGAAGGGAAAGACTGAGGGAAAGAGGGAGAGAAAGGGAAAAGAGA